CTAGTCGCTTTTAAAAACAAAACAATATAGCATTGGTTGATACAAAGTCATTTGATATTTAGTTGTAAAATACAGTCCATGGTATATGTTTATAACATCAGTAATTCATGAAATAAATCTGACTTTCAGATAAATGTATCACAGCTACAAAGAAAGTCATACTTTGTTTTATATAACAATAATATTGTAATAGTGGATGATTATGCTTAGATATCCTATGAGGTAGTTTACGAGGTAGTTTATTACATACTGGATTGAAACAATGTAAGGTAACAAGTAACTTAGACATTCTTTTGAATAAATACATATAATAAATGAATTCGCTTCAGGGTTTAAAATAAAAGTACCGTTATGTTATATTATGCATTCTATTTAAAGCATAATGCACAAAACAAATCACAATGAAGTGTATATATTTTTTATCACCGTTTCACAGATTTCAATCTATTACTGCCATTTATTCACTTTGTTCCTTCTTGGGTCATGTCAGTCTAATTTATTTAGAAATCATATATACATTATCCCTACTGTTCTATAAATGCTTAATTTGCAGTTGACCGAAATTGCTTAACATTTATATCCATTGTTTATTCAATTTAGGTTGATAATTCCTACGAGCAAGAATGGCTGACACGAATAATTGGATATATAGGAATATCATGTATAATTCATTTTATTCTCATAATATCAGTAAAATCTTATCAAGCAGACAGAAGGTTTAATAATAAGTACGTTTACGCAATGCTCAATTTATTTAAAACTATTAAGTCCACCCATGACATTCGAACATATAGACCAAAGGTTTTGTTCAATAAAGAAAGATTTATTTAAAAAGTACCTACAGTCAAAGATATATTCTGTAGGCTACTAGTATTTGATCATAGATAATTTTGAAGCATTTTTTGTACGTTAAAACCATCGGATAAACAGTGTTGAGCTTATGCAGTGATTCTTAGCTTAAAATAGCGGAGGTAGTAAGGTAGTGAGTCTTAGTAGGCTGATGTAATCAGGAGATGTTTCAGTTGTGACAGAACATCGAATACCTCAACTTGTAATGATTGTCTGGTATTAAAGTTGTAAGAAATCTAGAAGAGGTCAGATCAAAAATTGACAGCCGATGAAGTCGCTGTAATGATCTGTTTATGTTAATACAGACTACCTGGTTGAGGTCCGTGTAATTTTCGTAGCCAGTGAATAGAGACTTCGGATGATTTGGCTTAGAATTGTTATCACTAGTGCAGATATATTCATTTTTTACATCCCTTTATATTCTGAGTTTCTAAATTAGCTTACAAGTGACTTGTTCCATATTTCCTGAAACCGTACAGTTCATGGCCACTCTCTTCTTTCCGATTACTACGTTTACTAACTCGACACCTTGTTTTTTGACGTGCCGTGGCAACTCATACAAATGCACATATTTATCAAGTTTTGCGCTGCATACTGCTGACTTGCTGGCTCTGTTGATTTTAATTCTTGACCAACATATTTTAATATCACATACAGTAGCCCGCTGAAAATAAATAATTGATTCTGACGTTATTGCCTAGTATATAACTTAATAATTGATGTCGTAATTATCCCAACATATGATTATTTTCACTGATATAACAAACAAAAGGATTAGGCTGAGCCCAAAGTTCTTCTATTATGTATCGAAAAGAAATATTTAAAATCCATCGATAAAGACTGATAAAACAGTACTCATAATGCTTTTACATTTGAACAAATCTACAAGTGGTCTAAAAATATCCTACAGATATGAAATAAAATCTCCAATTTCAGTGCTATCTAGGGTCAAAATATAAAATTGAAAGTCTATCAAATGCTGAAGGTGATGTCATAAAATGAATTATTTATATTGATAAAGTTAAATAAGTCTAATTTTTGTATACTGAAAGTGATAAATGACAATTTTATTGCAAAAGGCCAGATTTAAGGAGCTTCGTTTCTGATTAGATAACAATAGTCACATAAGTTGATATGGCATCGTAAATGACAATTTTAGGTTTTGCAACTTTTCTTATAAAAGAAACAATCAAGTTTCTGAAGATTGCAGGTCTTATATATCTATTTTTACGATACTATCACTGAGATTTGGTCAACATCATATTCAGATTCAGAGTAGTACTTCAGTACTTTTGGTTATCTGTGATTTAATAGCATGAAAATAGTGCTCTGGATTCTAAGACCAAGATTTACAAAAATCCAGAAAATCTGATGTGCACTACTAACAGATATAACAGAAGCATGAATTCTACGTTTATACTTTTTGACCAAAAGTATTCATGTATTTAAATGTGTTAATAATTAGATACAAATAACTTCTACATTATACATTTCTTAATATTTATCCTACAGATCAGAGCATAAATTAAATTCTTACCGAAATATTTCTTCATTTTAATAAGATTTTTATGAGTAGTAGTGTTTAGAAATAAACTTTTACACTTTATACTTTTCCAGATTATTACACAATATACTCGTAAATGATCTGATCATCTTTTAGAATGAGGTCTTATAAACATTTACTTTAAACTTACGTCAATGTCATATTCAATATAGATCGAAATTGGCAAACAAACAGTATGAGGAAAAATAACAGCATTTATCAAACTAGAAAAAATCAATAATAAAAGTACCTTTATCGCCAGTTTTTGTTATTGTATTGATTACGACTCTCAATAACTAATTCTTATTATTAAATCAACTACATTCTGGTTACACAAAATTTCTTCAGTGAATAAGACTTGAAGTATTCAGCTGTATTTTGTTTTGAACTTATCATAATAATATCCATTACTTCATATTACTTCATAGCCCTTAAATACCCTGGTACGGCCGACAGTGGGGATAGTCCGCTCTCCCTCTCGAAATGTTCTCACGTGGCCACGCGAATATATAGCCTCTGTCAGGGAAGTCCTACTCACTGCCTTCTCGTGGCATTACTGTTGTTTACGAAATTGAGAGGATGAAAAGCGAATGTCCGGAGCTTTAACCGGGTCGGTGGACATGGAGGATCCACCTAGGGGAGTTGGAAAACCCTGATTCCAAACCAATGGTGCACATGGGCTCCAGGATCTTGATGGAACGAATGGCGTATGAACCTATTGTTGGTCACCGGCTACCATGGGACTGAATCTCCTCACGATGCTCCACTGCTTTGTGGATCAGATCTTTAGATCAAAGGCTCAGGGTGTGGCCCCCTAAGAAAACCACCTGCTTCAATCTGGGCACCTGGGCAGTATCTCAGCCCTCACATAAATCAAATGAGATTTGTGAGGCGCATATTTATCTGGTACTTTTTGTACCAATATTTATGTGTTTAAATAAAATAAAATAAAATAAAATCATATCCATTGATTAATAATAACATTTTATTTTATAAACTAACAACAATATTCAAGGAATAATCCTAAAGTCAATAAAATCACTATATTAATGTCTTCCATATGTATTACACCTTTAATCATCAAATGTATGTTGTAACTGAATAATTTATCTAGATAGTAATGTTACTTCAAGTAAAAATGAATTTATTTTGACCAATAACGTTTTCGAAGCTGTCAAATTTAACCTAACTTATTTAATTCCTGAATAAATCTCTCACAATATTCCTCTTTAATTCACTTTTATATTAACCTCATATTGAACAACAGTTTGACTTGACTTTTAGTGTTACAAACAATAAATTCCTTAAATTCAGTTAATATTATTTACTTGTATCTTCTCATTAATATTTAGGACCGCGATTTAACAGTCTCTTGTTAGCATGTGCGAATATTATGCGTATTGCCTCTATATTGCCCTAATTCACAAGCATTATAAGCAAAGATGGATAGTGGCTAGCAGTGGAATCCAGGACGAGCGTTTCGTTCTATTAGGGACTCGTCAGCTGGATGTACCTGTACCTTAGAGTTGATGTTCACTCTGGATAACGCGATGGCGTTTGAAGCGAATGGTACTGGGTTCGAGTCCCAGAGTGAACATCAACTCTGAGGTGCAGGCACATCTAGCTGACGAGTCCCAAATAGGACGAAACGCGCGTCCTGGATTCCACTGCTAGCCTCCATCCATCTTTGCTTAATAAATTTCTTATTTGATATTTATTACAAATAAGTCTACATGAATACCATATGAATAATGTTCAGCTTTTTTTCTTTCAAAGTTCAAATCTGTACTTTATGGTTTAATGAATTTAAAAATCACAATTTTAGTGTTATTAAAAAATACTACTTAGAAACAAAGGATACTATTTGTCAATTTTATACAGCTTTAATGAAAACATTTTCAGTGGAACTAATATTTTCAATATAATTAATTTAATTGAAAAAAACGCAATCTAATGAATTCGCATCTTATAAGATTATTGTATTAATCAATCCTTTTTATTATTAAGTATTGCAAGAAAATAAGCAAGGGAAATTCGTCCTAATTTGTTTCACTCTGTGAAACAAATATATTACGAAATAACTTCTATTCAAAGCAATTAGTTCATTTGATAAGTTTCGACAGCTTGATAAAAAGACAAAGATTATCAGAACATGCAACATCCTCTATTGCCAAACATATAATTGAAATAGGCCATAACGTTAATCTTAAATCAGTTATTGTGGTGTTGTACACAAGTGTAAAAGGATGTATACTATGGTTTATTGAAGCCTTAGCCATACGAAAATTCAAACCCTTTTTGTGTATTCAAAAACAGTTTGTTTTCACCTTAAACCTACCCTGGTAATATTAGCTTATTATCCAGAATGATTAGGTTTTCAAATTGTTTTCACATCATTTTCTTTATTATCCTTGTCTCCTCTTACCATCCATTTCCAATGTAGTTGATCTTACATTTTTTTATATATAAATATTCTTAACAAGTATATGTGTGATCAGATTCTTCGAAATGTTTTGCACTAATATATCATATAATTCTGATAGTCTTCGTCTTCTTTTATTCAATTTCATAATCACATGCAATAAAAATCCTAATATAGTAAACTTACATTATTAAAAAATAAACGTTGGTCGGTATACAGGTAATGATTGTTACATACAATTTAATTCCATAGTGTGTTTTCTGGAGGTGTAATTTTGAAATGTATTTCGGCAAAATATTTTAACAATTATGATTATGTAATACATGAAATAGAATTTGGCATGAAAACATATAAGTATATCTTATGAACAATTGTTATTGTCATCTATGAAGCTTGTCTAAATTTCATATCTTCATTTTATTGTGATTAATTAATTGTAACTTTTTTGATGATAGTTATACATTTATCGTGTTTATTAGCTCAGATATCCTTATATTGGTCACATTAATAAGTCAGGTAAATAAATGATAACCAATAGGGTTTAAATAGATATTCAATATTCTTTATGCTGAAACTTTGCATGTATGTTTACATATATATATATATATATATATATATATATATATATATATATATATATATATATATATATATATAATGTGTTTATATGTCTATAATAGTTGTCATGTTTCGTATATAAAATCACTTAGACACTACTCGATAGACAAAGGTGATAATAAATTCCTGAAAACAATAATGAAAAAATTAGTAAATCAGTGAAATTCCTGGTAGACATATTCTAATTAATCTATTATTCAATTAAATAGTTCTGATGAATACAATCTAAATATATTGTATTCATTCAAATGTGTTTCCCCTTTCATTAAATTCCCTAATCCATAATAGGCCGTCATAAAAAAAATATCATTTATCTTTCTTAAAACACACTAAATGTCATTAAATGACAAGGTCAGTGATTTTAATTTGAAACCAATCCCAAATAGATAGGTTAATCATTAAGGTGATCATTAAGAATGAACTATCTAGGCTGATTAACTAAACTTTCTTTCAGCAGTAGTACAATATTATGACAATTGTTATAGGTTTACATTATTTTACGTATAGTTAAAATTGTTTATGAATATAGTAGTATTAGTAGTTCAAAAACACGTTAGCAACTATAAAATTTTCATTTCAAAAGAAATAAAAGCGAGATGTGATTAGTAGATGTTTTTCTCATTAACCGAATGAATACCGGATAACTTGTGTATAAATGTGTTTATAATTTTAAGCATTGAATACTTTCTAACTAATGGTAATTATTTTGAAATGTCTGGACTTCTTATTTTCAATCAAATAAAGATTTATCATGCTTACTGTGAAGGAATGTGTATAGACTGTTACAATTTAAAAGGTGAGTAGTTTGTTAAAATATCTAAGAACTTTTATGGAAACTTGATACAGTTAAATATGAAATACAAGATGAGTTGTTTGTACATATCGTCAGTTATAAATAGACATTCTAACGAAATCCACGTATTACAAAATATTTTATGACAAACTATTACTGTAAGACGTAGAATTCCGTTTCACTTATCGTTTGTTTAAAATCAAATACTTTAAAAGTATCACTGAGTTGATAAACAGAAAAGTATTTAAGTCGTTTGAATAAATAAATGCTTAACTATCATTGTAGGTAAATTCCACTGGTTAATTTGAGGGGATACGAATTCTTAAACCGATTGATTGATATACCATTTTCAAAACTTTAGAGCACAAGATTGTCCTTTCAAAGATCTCAAGATTTTAGTTATGATTTAATTTTGGTTTTGTAACGCATGAAAACTGAATAAGCATTTCTTTCAGGTCATCTCTTGTTTCCTTGACAAATGAGTAATATAAATCTTTCAGATAAATGGAAAACAAAAAGATTATATTAAAAGTTTGCTTAAACAGATGCAAAATCAGTTAGATAATAGACCCGTAAATAAATTGCAAAGATACTTATAAACTTCTGAGCATGTTAGACGTAGATACAGATTGTAACTAAGAGGTTCAATGATACAAAAGTAATAAGTATTTTCAATCTTTTAAATATTTTATACTGTGAAGATTCAAGTAAAATTTAATCCATGTGGCTACTGTCACGATGTACTATAGACAGATTAAGGACGTGATTATAAATTTATATTTTCTTCCCACCTACCAAATTATTATACATAGTTACGATAAATAAACTGGTCAAAAAATAAAATCACTGTTATCGTCAACCATAAATTTACTAGGGCTTTATGTCAATACTGTAATATTTGGACTTAGTGGATAACGCGTCTTTGTTAAACATTGGCACTGGAATGTAGGTATATCTGGCTAAAAATTCTTAGGTCTCACAGTTAGCCACCATTTAAATTTATTCGAAATTTTGTATATAATTATTAAACTGTAATATTCATCTCACTTTACATCAGTTAATAAATCATCAACTTTTGTTTTAAAATATTCTTATAATTTAACGTTTATACGTGAAAAACAGGATCATTAATTAGAAATGACAGTTACACGTCACAACTATTCAAAGAATCCTAGCAATATTTGACTCGAACCGACGATTGATTAGGTCGCTTATAATAGGGGTTATAAACACTTCAAATATCACTCCGGTTAGAAAATGCATTTCGAAAATTTTCTGACCATCCTTTCTTTTCTTAAGTCAAGCACACATGTAAACAAAAAAAGGAACAAATCAGATCAAATAATTATTACATAAAAACAGATTAAGGTTCACTAATGTCATGTCATTTCAGCCAAAGTTGAGTATACGTGAAAAGAATTCTCTCTCATGTACCTAAATCTGTGACTTCATTTTGTTTCTTTATATATAGGATTATCTCAAAAAATCCATTGGTAACATCATTGCTTAGATTTTTCAGATTAATCGGATATTAATTTTTTCCATCGAGCCTACTAGAATAATTATATTAACATATGTTTTTTAGCAACTATTTTTTGATGTCATCGAAGATGACTTTCAGTAATAAATGGATATTGTTAATATAAATGTGATGGTTACTCGAAGAAGCATGCACCCCTATGGCATTTATCTTGTAACTCATTGAAATAATGTAAGTAGATTTATTTTTTCTAATAAAATGTTGCAGTCCTAAACATCAATGTAAAGATTTGAACAAACAATACTAAGTGAATTTTCACCCTATTTCACAAGCAAAAGGCTATCAGTACTCAGTAGCTAAGTGGATAACGCGATGACGTTTGAAGCGAACGGTACTGACTTCGAGTCCCAGAGTGAACATGAGCTCTGAGGTGCAGGTAGATCTGGTTGACGAGTCCCAAATAGGACGAAGTGACGCGCGTCCTGGATTCAACTGCTATCCACTATCCATCTTTGCTTACAATAAAATTTCAGTTTAAAAATTTCATAAAATTATCATATCAGACATTTGTTTCTTAAAGCATAATATATGACATAAAATGATAAATTCATTCCTAAAATTAATTGTCCTCCTAAACATATATTTCTTACTATCATATATTTAGTTTATAAGTTCATTTCCAACCATCATACAAAATACTGATTTAAACTGTTAATCTGACACTGTACTTTATTCAAATACCATTCAAAATTATATGCTTATTTAAATCAAAATTTGTGTCACTTACAACCGCAACTATTCATAAGTTGATATCATAGTATCAACGAATATATCCTACACATTTTAAATAAAATATCTTGAAAAATTTAAACAATACGTTAAGAATATATAAGAACTTTTGTCTTAATTAGAGCGAATACTTTCACAGTATTTGGATGCCATGTTGATGTAAGACATTAAATAAGAATAATATATTTGTAAAATCTCAGCGAATGAATTTGAAATAAATCCAGCGTTTCGCCAGGTAATCTTGAAAGCTTTCAAGGACCAGATTGCCAGGTGAAACGTTGGATTTACTTTAAATTCATTCGCTGATATTTTACAAATATTTATTATTTCTATTTAATGTAATAAGTTAAGAATTTCTAAGACAATATTTTCTTCATGTTTTTTAATGACGATTCTCAAAAATGGATCAAATTATTTATTCAATTATTATTTAGTGAATTTACTTAGTAACTAAAGCTTTCTACATAGAATGTATATGGAAATTTTTTCATTTCAATACTTAAATTGATAGGGATGTGATAATTATTCATTACTTGTTACATTATCTCCATTATTTATTGTACTAGTCATCTAATCTCATTAATTATTATTATAAATAATTGAAGAACTAAATTCATTTAGTTTAATCTTAAGTTAAAATTTTAATAAAAATACCGAAAACAGAAAGAAGGAAGTTTAATTAAGCAAATGGTTGTTTCTCTTTTTTTCTCGGAAACAAAAGACCGATGAGTTAACTAAATATTTAAGAATATCTTATAATGGATAAAATTACTCTTTATATGATTAAATAGGTGGATTTTAATTTAATTAATTAATAGTTTATAATTTTTAAAAATCCCCATCATATTAAAAGACTAATATTTGAACGAAGAATATTCTTTTCGATATATTCTCTTCAGCTTCTACAATTATATATCCAAATTAATAATCCGAAAAAATGACCAGGTTAAAGGCAAAGTACATCGTTTGAAGCCTGTAAATTTAGGAATGTCAAATGAAATAGAATAAAATTGTTAATTCCTTGAAAAAGCTTGGACCAGATTGCCAGGCGAAACGTTGGATTTAATTTAAAAAATTCATTCGCTGAGATTTTACAAATATATTATTCCTATTTAATGTCTTACTTCAACTCGGCGCTCAAATACTGTGAAACTATTCGTTCTAATTTAGACGAGAGTTCTTATAAAATTGTTAATGTTGATATGACTCATATAGAATGTTCTGTATATATGGTAAATGAAAATTTAAGATCTGTGATCAGAATATAAATATGGGTCAGATAGGATGAGAGAGATATGATAGTGCAATTACAATTCGATCAAGTGGAAGACTAAATGTGTGAAAAATTAGAGAGACGTAATAAGGAGGGATCAATGCGATGTGAATGAATCATGTTTAGGGGGGATTAATAATGATATTTAACCAATAATAATAATAATAAAATACAAAGATTTGTGACAGACAATTACATTTGACTACGAAAGGTCGTAAGTTCATAGTCAAATGAGGTCATACAATAGCTAAGATGATTGTTCATTAATTGGCCTTGTGGTTGGCCAAGGGAGGAGTAGGGGTTGGAGATATTTCTTCTGTACACATAGCTCCGGTTTCTTCATTCTGATGGCTACTGCCCCCGCCGTTTGAAGGACTTTAAGTCTGACAAGCTTAGGCAAAAAGTTACTGACCCTATAAATAATTGAAAAAGATTGATTTATACTGGCACTATGACCAGTTTGTACTAAATGGGCCAAAATCGAGCTGTTTATTTTCCTCATCAGACCTTTGCTTAGACACGCTGGGAGGTGTTCACGAGCACGAAAATGTAAATTCCTAGAACTTCGACCGATATAACTTGCTCCACAGGAGCAGTCGAACTGATAAATACAAAATGAAGTGGTCATTCTAGGAACTTCGTCTTTAAGCCTCGGTGTCACCATTGGACGCGTATAAAACTCCAAACGTAGTTCACCTGCGTTGAAAGATTTTGGGATAGATCTGCGTAATCTCTAAGCAAGCATTTCGCTAGCGGCATCCCCCCTGAATTGTAGGCGCATGAACAAGGACTTTTTCTTGACCGTTTGAAATTCGCCTGTTTTCACTTTATTTTTTCGGATTATTAATTTGGATATATAATTGTAGAACCTGAAGAGAATTTATCAAAAAGAATATTCTTCGTTCCAATATTAGTAGTTTATAATTTAATTAATTAAATATTTCATACACATATATCGTAAAATAAACTAATCACAACTATCTACATTTTATCAAAGAAATTTAGCCATTTACATGATCGAGTTTCCAGTTTCATATATTTCAAAGATAATTTAATGCATAGATACTGTAACTATTCACCGTTTTTTAAATGAGTACTATAGATTCATAGATTTCTATGTGATTAGTTTTTGTTTTGTTCTCATAATTATACAATCTTTCCGAATGATGAAATTTATATGATACATAACGTAAGGCTTATTTAATAGTGAATACCAGTAAGCAACCATAAGTCTAATCGTCAGAATTTTTTTACTAACAGAAATAATATTTAAATTCACTTGGTACTGTTTGTTTAAACCCTCACATTGATAAATTAATATATTTGTAATATCCCAATGAGTAGAAAAATAAGATTTTCTGACGTTTCGTGACTCAGTGTAAGCCACTTCTTCAGAGAATAAATAACCAAATTAACAATAATCCAAGTTTAAATAGTACAACGGGACAATCAAAGAATATTATGATATTCGGTATTGCATATTTAAATCTTCCCATGAATGTTTAGGACTGGAATTAATCAGTCTTTGATTGAAATATGTGCATACTGTGCATTCATTCAATCAAAGAATATTATAATATTCTTTGATTGTCCAGTTGTACTATTTAAACTTGGATTAATGTTAATTTGGTTATTTATTCTCTGAAGAAGTGGCTTACACTGAGTCACGAAACGTCAGAAAATCTTATTTTTCTACTCATTGGGATATTACAAATATATTAATTTATTTATAACAATCTACCCAATGCTCAATTTATTCAAAATTATCAAATCAAGACTTGGTAATGATACCTACTTCACATTGATGTTTACAACTGCAATTGATCAGTCTCGTCCTATTTGAGACTCCTCAGCTAGATGTACGTGTATCTCAAAGTTGATGTTCACTCTGAGACTCGGACTCAGTACCTTTCGCTTCAAACACCGTCGCGTTATCCACTTAGCTACTGATTCCTGATAGCCACTTGCTTGTGCAATGGGTGAAGTTTAAACTTATTCGGTATTGCATGTTTAAATTTTCCCATGGATGTTTAGGACTGGAATTAATCAGTCTTTGATTGAAATATGTGCATACTGTGCATATTGCCTCGATATAGCCTTAATATTTTCATTAAATGAATTCAATGAATAAGAGAATAAAAGTAACTACGTAAATTGTTCAGTGTTTAATTAATAGAATTATTTAGTAACATTCCGTTTAAAATTTGTGAAACATAAGAATGCTTCTAAAGTTAGTGGCATATAAATTCACCTGTTAACTATATCCTTTCTTTATTAATCTTGATTTCATCATTCGAAAAATTCAAATAGTTATTCACCTTTTGTTTAAATGTCATCAACATTTTCAACGAACTTTCCCAGCAAGCGATTCATTTCGTGCAAATTATTTACTAAATGCAATCTATTTTAGTAAAAATACTAATCAGCACTATTCAATTGTTAAAATAAAATAAATGATAATGCTCTAGATTATAAATAACTTTAAATGGACAAAGTCTATTCTTTAATATTAATATATCTGTCCATAATATGTATTTACTAGATAAGTAGAGACAAAGCGTAACATGACTCCATGATAGACATACTAGCAGTTGAATACAAAATGGACAAAAAGCAGATAAATGATGATAATACGTTCTCAAGTGTAAATGTTACTTATAATAAGTGTGTGCATGTGATTAACTAAAATTAATCAAGATATAAAGAGATTAAAATAGAAACCTTATGTCAAATACTCTAAACAAACAAGTTAGTTCTCGTTACAACTGATTATATATGTTTTGGTGAAAATTTAAGTATTTCTCTTAAGGGAATAGTAAAATCTAGGGTGAAATGTTCATAAAAATACTTCCTTATTTCTAGTAGGGTATGATTGTATTATAACAAAAAGTAATTTTCATCAATAAATGAGAGCCTTATACGGATGATTCATCCTAGCTTGAGATCATCTAGCATAAACTGAAGCATCAAAACTGTCTTTTTCTCTTGTGGTGAGTAGGTGACAGTTTGCACAACATTTAGCTTATGAATGTAAATTCATGGGATATTATTATTTATTGAGTAGATAGCGTGGAACCGCTAGGAAAATATGTATTATGTCAATACATAGGTAAAGTAACATGGTGTTATGGTTTATAAAGAAATTTATGACCTAAATAACAGCTCAAACAAAGAATAATCTCGCTGATAAATGAATGGTCAGAGACAATTACCTTCAAATTAAAGGAATGAAATTATAAGCCATAGAACCTCTAGTCAACTAAACAACATTTTCGATTGGTAACACAATATAATGGAGGATAAACTCTTCCAATAACCTATCCTATCTTGAATTTTAAATCATTAATTTTATAAGTTAATCAGTTATCTTCATATCGACCTGTCACAAACTCTTTCTGCTAATAACCAATAAATCATTTATTAAAAGTTTTCACATCAAAATGAATTTAGATGTATTCAATATGTGTCAGGGAATCTGGACATTCATCAGTACTAGCTTTTAACCTAAAAGCACGTGAATTAGGAAGTTACTTCACTAGACAGAGAGTAAGTACTATTAATCTTATACATATTTCTCTAAATACAAATCATGCCAAGATAAAACTAGTTTATTTAGTAATAGAAGGAAATACATATTTAGTCAGTGACTATATAGCATAAATTAAATCAAATCGAAGAAAATATACCAAACAACCTATTTTAGTTGTTTATGATAGAAGGATTGCAGCTAACAGTAGAATCCAAGATGCTCGTTTTATTCCATTTGAAACTCGTCGATTAAAAATAATTACATTCCATTCTGTTCCTAAACTTCAAAGTGAATCCTTAAAAAATATCACACTGGAGAAAAGCACATAACGTAAACTTATTCCATTTGTTGCCATGTATTCTCTAAGTTGATAACATTTTGTAGTTAGAATATTAGAATTTGATTGGACATCTTAGTGATATAGTACAAATTTTGTGATTGTGCTTACATTAAAAGAGCAATTAACAGAATCACAACAATCATGAAAGAACATGAGACAAAAGCTAATTCATGAAAAAGACAAATCAACTCATCAAACTTGTGGAAACGTAGTAATAAACGTATGAATAAACAATGTCCTTAACTCTAATTATTCAAATCAATATGACTTTTGGAAAAAATATCTCAAGTCTTACGGACCATTTGTCAACCGAATGCACTAGAATTTATCTGACACTTGTGAATGTAAGTACTTATCATCATTTACTTTCATTGGTAAAAGATGTTAATAAAATATAAATTAGATCAGAAGGGGTTTTTGTAGATATTTCAGTATTTTCATAGTTGAAATCATGAGTCTAATGAAGCTAGACCACCATGAAAAACCTGGATGTACTGGACGGCCGTTTCGTCCTATTATGGGACTCCTCAGCAGTGCGTATCCACGATCCCGCGCTCGCGAGATTCAAACCCAGGACCCACTAGTCTCACGCCAATGCACTTAACCGAATATTATCATTATCACAGTATGCACAGTAATAGAATTAGTAAATAATTCTGTCAGCTTTGTCGAATAAGATAAAAAATGGGTTAGAAAAAAATCATTAATATTTAGCTCATGAGACGGAAAGGAGTAGACGAATGATTATCTAAACTTAATACAGTGGTTTAAATTTGATTGATTTGAAGTGTAACCATGACTTTTAATATTTCACTATTCGAAAAAAACTTGAAGCATAATAAAAGAGATTTTCTATTAGCTTTAAAGTTTAGTGTGAGACTTGCTAGTTTTTATGATAAATGTTGTTCCTAATTTTTATTCATCGTATATTTTGTCTTTGACACAGCAGAAATCTATCGAAGACAGAACTAATATAGGATTACTACCAAAAAACACTTCTCGAGTTATCCTAAGGGAATCAGTCGTTTTTCTCTTAAACTCATGAGGATGTTCTGATCACTTTACTTACTTACTTACTTACGCCTGTTACTCCCAATGGAGCATAGGCCGCCGACCAGATCTGATCAGTTTAGTTTGTCAAAATCTACACATCATGTAATTTTCTTCCCATTAAATATATGATGAATGGTTTTTGGATGAAAACTGTTTTGAAATGTATGATTCACTTGATAATACTTTATTAACAAATCTGCACTTTTATGAAATAATCTGGTGCCTTTTTTCACTATACATCTAGCTGAAACTGAAAGCAAACATAAGGTTTGATTTCTATAAGATATCTCATAGTAGATAACGATTTCCATATTTCCAATCTTATACACCATGCATTGAATCAATGCAATAATCTATTTGTTTTATATATATATCTTCTTATAAGTAAAATGTCTCTAAATATATCTTTTTAGTCCATTAATTCAGACAATCAAGTAATATATTGTATCAAATTAATAATTGTTTTCAATGTAATGGAAGTGGAAGAAAATCTATCATCATTCTAATCACCAACAACATTAGCATATACATATAAGCATACGAAGCTATATCTATTAACAGTATCTTTCAGTTAGACTAATTAGATAAAATTAAACATCCTCAAAAAGAAAATCTGATTACAAATACTAAGTTTTATGGAATAACTTATTAGTTATCATACATTCATCTATACACATACAAACAATCACAATGAATACAACATAAACTACCTACAGAGCTCATTTGACTTTCTCTTCACTCTTTCTCTTCTTCTATAAGTTTACACATTAGACTGTCTTCTATCTAGTTATGAATATCATAAAACAGATTATAACTGTCATGTTAGATATTTGACAATAAACTGTACAATTATGTACACATATTTATATATACTGAATATGTATATCTATATATGTATATATAAAAATATTGTTACCTGCCTTCACACCTTGGACACTAAATATGTATTACTTTACTAAAATAATTCATTTTTAACAGATAACTTTGACGTAAAAAAAGAGAGAAAAAAAAGCGTGAATGTCAATAGAAAATAAGCGAAGACAAATAGAATTTATTTAAATACAAAAAGGTTAACATACAATTTCTCTGTGATATAAAGAATATTTTTTTTTAAAAAAAGAAGAAAGAAACAGAAAGATTAAAAATTCATAACCATGTCAAAACATTTCTATAGACAAACCTTTTTTTTTCTTCTGAAAAAAACGATCATATTTTATCCTCCCGTTTTTTTGTTGCTAACTAAATTTCAAATTATATGAAAAATCAAAAAAAAATTTTTTTCAAGGTAAGAAATTTAATTATAAAAGAATTTTGCTTAAACTCTATGTAGAAATAATATAATATTCATTTAGGAAAGTGTACAAAACGTAATTGTTGCTAGTTCTTATTAATTTAAACAAATATTTTAGTTAAACTGATGACACTTGTACTAAATTATTATTATAGTTATTGAGTTTATTCAATATTGAATTTTTGGTACAATATAGAATTCTCAGCACAAATTATCTTAACAAGTTTCCGTCTCTTATTTTTTAATCGATTCTAACGATAAATATTGAATGATTGCCAGTTAGATGTAAGCAGTTTCGAGGATCGGGATCTGAATACTGTGCATTCTTTTCAATGCATATTGCCAGCAACCACGATGTTTGTGAATGTATGGTTTGTAACTTGTACAGTGAAAGGTCGTAAACTTTTCATAAACGCATCTGAATAGGTTATGCGATTAATAGACATAATGATATATTAAAACAAAAAACTAGATAGCTTGTTGAAATATCTAGTCGTCAGGAACAGGTAGTCCAGACATTCAAGCAGGTCATCTGGCCTGAAATAAAATGCAAAATAATCCTTAGAAACAAAAGAAAGCGTAATAGAAAATGAAAAGTTTATTTTCATTTGATAGATATTCACTGAATATGTTAATGTTCTTAACTTTTTGTGTCGTTTTGTTTTTTCCCATAGACGAATGAAATAACTTGAACTTAAATGTACTTGGTAATGTTCGGTTGAATCATCTCATTGATGTTTAGGACTGCGATTGGTCAGTGTCTTACTGGCGTATCTGCATCCTGTACGAACTGCCTCGATATTGCCTTAATTCACAAGCATTATAAGCAAAAATGGATAGTAGCTAGCAGTAGAATCCATGACACGCGTTTCGTCCTGTTTGGGACTCGTCAGCTGGATGTACCTGCATCTCGGAGTTGATGTTCACTCTGGAACTACAACCCAGTACCTTTCGCTTCAAACGCCATCGCGTTATCCACTTAGTTACTGATATCCATTTGCTTGTGCAATGGGGTAAAGTTCCAATTCACTTTGTACATCCTACTGAAGAGTCCCAAATAGGCCGAAACGCGCGTCCTGTATTCCACTGTTAGCCACTATCCATCTTTGTCTATAACTTTTTTGATTTAGTTTATATTTCATTCAAAAATGACAATAGTTTTGTAATTGAGTTGAATTCAGTATCCTTATTCGTTCCTTATGATGGTTTCTTTTATTATTTCACACATATTTTATTGATAAAGAAATCATAGGAGTATGGTTTATTAAAACATATCATCTACCTGGCAATTTGATCGAAGGTTGAATCACATTTTTTTGTTGTATCTTATTAGAAGTTAATATTAATATTTAAAAGTGTTTCACACACCACTAAAAAAATTGATCATATGGAGGACTAGATATAAAATGCTTTCAGACGTATTGTCTTATGTGTACTTTTTCATAGTAGAAAGCATGAGTCAATTGAAGCTAGACCACTATGGAAAACCTGGAAACACTGGACGGCCGTTTCGTCCTATTATGGGACTCCTCAGCAGTGCGCATCCATGAACCCGCTCTCGCGAGCGAGACTCGAACTCAGGAGCTACCAGTCTCTAAAATACTAAATCTCCACAAAACCCCTTCTTATAATTTATGTGTACTTTGCCTAGAAATAGATGAATGGAAATCTGTCACTCTGGTTAATTTTTTTCATTTCGATTTCAACATTACGCTGTACAATACGTTCCCTTCGTTTGATAACATATTTTCCTCATGGATCATAGTTTTTTAACTAGAGTTTAAAATCAGACACATGAATGAAAGATTATCATTCTGTTAGGTGAATTAAACAAAATGTTTTCTTCATAAATCAGCCACAAAATATTAATAGAGTTCATTTCAGAATCAATGGAGAAAATTAAAGAACAGCCTCATGATTAAAATAAGCAATCTACAATGATAAAAAAGTAATGAAGTAATCAGATCTTCATGGTAGCAGGTATCATACAATAATATGAAATTCTAATCAAAACTATATCTTCACAAGTTATTTGATGTTTAAATTAGGCTTAGTGATCTGTAGGTTGGATACTTGTACACGAGACTAAAAGTTCTAAGTTCGAATCCCCTCTACCAACAACATAACTCTCTCTGAAACTTCTCATGTTGATATGTCACACTTAAAAAAAATATATTTCATATGCATGAATAAAAATAAGCATTTTTATCAATTAAAATATTGTTCCTTGTTTTCCAATACAATAATGATATAAATAATTACTTTATATTGCTTTCCTATAATATTTTTTGGTCAACTTTTCTTAATAATTACAGTCAGTAACCCTCAGGCTGCAATTAATATGTTCACATGTAAAACAAAAAAACACAACTATAAATCGTGATTACAACTGAAGCAAGCAGAAATACAGCTGAATTGAACATCTTTCATACAATAAAGAAAAATTACATAAACTAATATGCCTGTAGTGATATTTTTTTAAAAAGATTTGTTCCTATAGAAATTATTATGAATTTTTTTTCAAACACTGATGAATAACAATAAACGATAATTTAGCATTTTCCTATAAGACTGAAATAAATTCAATTCACTTAGTATTGTTTGTTTGAATCTCCCCGTTGCTGTTTAGGACTGCAACTGTTCAGCCTCTAATTAGTATATGTGCATGCTGAGCGCATTGCCTCAATATGGGAAGATTCAAACAAAAAATACTAAGTAAATTGAAATTTCATCCCATCGCACAAGCAAGTGGTTACTAGGAATCAGTAGTTGATTGGATAACGCGATGGCGTTTGAAGCGAAAGGTACTGGGTTGGAGTTCCAGATTGAACATCAACTCTGAGATATAGGTACATCCGGTTGATGAGTCTCTAATAGGACGAAACTCGTGTTCTGGATTCCACTGCTAATGACTATCCATCTTTGCTTACTATGAAATAAATTGCCTGTGAAATTTCTGTCTTGTTTATTCTACTTGTTCATTATAGACAAAATTTAATT